GAGGCCATCTTTGCAACCGGCCTCATCCACATCACACTTCTTTTCGCATACCCCTCCAACACCCGTCGCTCACAACAGTGGCGCAACCGCCTCCGCCAGCTCCACATTTTACCCCACACCTACCACTACCACAACTTCCTCTCTTCCAATTCCGTCTACATCAAGCTCCACTTCAATCCCGACCAACCCCAACGCTGCTACCATCAACATGGCCACTTCTACGTTGGCTCCACAGCTATCGGCATCCCCCACCGCGAGCACAATCGCCGCGCCAAACTCAAACAACTCCAAAACAACATTCCCATTTCTGCAGAACTCTCCTTACGTTATTGGCATTCACACAACAACATCCACCACTACACCACTATTCAACTCACCTCCCATGACACATACGACCAAGCCTGGATCCAAGAGCACCACTACATCGCCAACTGGATGCCTTCACTCAACTGGCCTTTCATTTCCCACCACCTTAAACTCAAAGCTCAGGGATGGCAGTTCGCGTAGCCACCCACAAACGACTTTTCCGACGCCTTCGACAACGCCAGTACACCCTCAGAGAACCACACCTCTACACTTCCACTAAGCATCACGCCCTCCAACTTCTTCGCAACCTTACCAAACACACCGCAGCCTCTTTTGAGGCAGCAAAACAGATAAGAAGCGGCCGCCACACGGACCTCGAGGTGTATGCAATCCGGCGTATGGCCGCAAATTTGGAAGAACCTGGCCGCAGCCGAGCTCTTCACATCCTCAACAAAGCCTTGATCTACCGCAACCTCACGCCACCTAAGCCAAACATCCCACTGACAGTGCCCTTCTTGGCCCATGACGACTTCACCAAGCACTGCCAACAATGGCTTCGTACCACCATCCAGCAGCACAAGCATTTCACCATTCCCCTCCACCTCCCCTCCCACAGACTGAGGGAAGCCGCCCACAAAACCCTCCGCTCCCACCTGCACAACCACCGCACATGGGAGGACACCCTCCACTCCCCGCCAGATCCAGCAGACCTCCCCTGTGCATGCGATCACCTTCGCACACTCCTGCAGGATCCCGATACCCCTACCATCAATGGCCACTACATCCTTACACTTGACCAACTCCAACTCCCTACACACCTCAGCATTTTCCTCAACGCCAATATGAACAGCACCTATTACCCAAGCAAAGCTCGGTACTTCCTCATTTTCAAGACTGCCTATACCAAATGGCTCAAACTACAAGGGCTTCCACCATCCCTAGTTCAACACCTACAGCCTTTCCTTGAGCACCAATGGCGCCTTCACAACACACACCTCAAGCAGCAACCCCGTTTTACGGCCCGCCTGCTTCGTCAACTCCAAGAACATTTGGGTAAACACACATTACTCCACCACGCCGATCATGAGCTCCAACAACTGCGACTGTTTTGCCCTCGCCAATACTTCACTGGCGCCTTCAACACCTGGCAATCCCCTGAACTATTTGAACCACTTCCCTACATCACTGTCGCCAACATCCATGACCACCTAGCCGCCACCGTCCCCCCCATCCTGCGCACCCGCTACAAGTGGGGCTTCCGAAAAGACTTCAACATCCCCTACGGTGTTGTCCACCTTAAAGAGAAGAAGCACTGGCAAAAAGGCCGTACAATTATATCCTACTTCCAATCACTCAGCGGCACCTTGCTACGCATCACCAGCCGTGCCCTCGACATTATCCTCCAACACCTCTACCCTCAGCATCCAGGCCAAATGTCCATTCCACAGCTTTGGCACCACTTTCACAGCTACCTCACCCAAACCCCACCCGACATCTCACTACACGCCACCAATGATGACCTGGTCGGCTTTTTCAACTCCGTCCCCCAGCACCGACTCATCGATGCAGTCCACTCCCTTGTTCTCCACTGGCAACAACAGCAATCCACACACACCTTAACGGTGGATGTCCAGGCCACCGGCAATCCGTTCCACCACTCCCACATTGGCAGACACCATCGAAAACACCCTACCCAACGCACCATCCAGACTTCCGACATCACCACCATTGTGGCTTTTGCCCTCGACACATGCATTTTCCGGGCCTGCAACAACACTTACAAACAAATCCGAGGGGCCGGGATTGGATCCCAGCTCTCTCCAGCCCTATGCAATGTTGCCATCACCCTCATTGAGCATTCATGGCATCAGATCCACAACAACCTCCTTCAACACACAGACCTCCACTTTACTTACTATCGGTATGTCGACAACCGTTTCATTGTCCACAACGAACATTTCCTCCAACACCCGGCTATCCAAACCCTCATCCACCACAATTTCTTTGGCGACCCTGTGGAACTTGAACCGGTGGAGGATTTTCATCTCCTCGGTTTCAACATCGACCTCCCACAATGCACTATCACCTACATGCAACCTTCTCAACCCTGGAAAATCCGGGACTCCACAACCGCCGGGAGCCAGCGCTTGGCTCTATCAGGCCTCCAATCACGACTTCACACCATTCGAAAATACACATTTCCACCCTCCAGCGCTGACGTTGCTGCGGCTGAACTCGTGAACCTATATGTCCAAAAGGGGCATAACTACCACGCTTGCCACCGGTTTTTGAAAAAAGCGCCGAATGCGGCGATCTGTGTGTGTCCCACCCTGGACAAAGGGTCTTACACCACCACTCTTCCCATTTTACACAGGCAGGGGGCAGTGACAGAGTTTGTGGAATCACTGCCAACGAAGACGTCCACATTCTCTGGTGATGCATCGGGAGACGTCCTGATGTGTACCTGCTTCAACTTTTGAACACGCTGTCCAATCTTTTGGTTTGATTCATGGTGGTTCCACACGATACTTTCCCCACAAACAGGTTTCCCACTGCACTGCAGCTGCTGACCGCCGCTTCCACTTGCGCTTGTCGTGAAACCTGTGTTAAACAATACAGTTTAAGCTGACCTTTCCACCTTGCCGTTCCATCGCCTTCCTTCCCATTGAGACAATTGCGTTAACTGAAAAACCCAAGTTCGAAGTGTGTCAACCCCTGGACCAAGGGTTCACCGCTACTGACTTTCTGCTTTTCTCCCCGTTTTCCACCCTGAAAGAAATTTCCACCAGCAGGGGCGTGCAGCATCTGTGGTCCACTGCACGCAACGAAGCTAAGACCACAGATGGGAAGGGATCAAGGACGCTTGATCCTGTACCTGCAGATCAACACATTGACACCAATGGTCCACCCTGCCGCTGTTCGTTGGTTTCATGGTTTTTCCTCACGATACTCTCCCACAAACAGGTTTTCCACCGCATTTCTCAACCGCTCGTGAGTTGCAGCCAGCCGCCGATCGCAGACTTGCACCTTTGGAAACTTTGTTCAACCATACTTTTCCAGCTGACTTTTCCACCTTGCGGTTCTTCGCCTTCCTTCTCAACGTGGGAATCGAGATAACTGAATACAATTGTCGAAGTGTGTTTCGCTCAGCCGTCCCACTCGGGTGCTGAGTGTGATCCCCGTCATTGGGGCGCTGTCTCATCGTGCAAGCACTAACTGACCTCACCACCTTTCACAGGAACTCCACTGGAAGTCACCGCCACAACCACCGAATTAACTGCCACAAAGGCCGCCGGGCCTCACCACGGGAACTGACAGTTTTGCAACACTTGCTTTTTTGAGATGTTTGACGGCTAAGTATTCACATGTGCATGTGCGGCTAAGTATTCACAGGCCGGATGAATTAATCATGCATTTCCCCCTCCCTACCCCTGGGCCTCCGTTGCTACCCCACCCGCTACTCGGGAAACAGAAGGAAATCGCACTCAACACACTTGTGTGTTGGTGCCTTTCCTTCTGTTTCTCCTAGCCTATTGCTAGCTACCCGGGCGGTTTAAGACAAATGTCCCGCTCGCGATCTACTTTCATTTAACTAAGCGGGCCTCGTAACTTCCCCTATCTTTCTTTCTTGCCCTCTTAGTCTGCTTTTGTTTTGTTTGCTTTGTCTGTCTTTCTAAGGCTTTTTAGGTGGCTATTAGTCTTTTCGCAGCGCCAATTTTGGCGCTTTCTGTACAAAGTTCCACCTTCACACTTGCGCCGGAATCGGCTGTTTGTGTGTGTCAACCCCTGGACCAAGGGTTCACCGCTACTGACTTTCTACTGTTCCCCCCGTTTTCCACCCTGAAAGAAATTTCCACCAGCAGGGGCGTGCAGCATCTGTGGTCCACTGCACGCAACGAAGCTAAGACCACAGATGGGAAGGGATCAAGGACGCTTGATCCTGTACCTGCAGATCAACACATTGACACCAATGGTCCACCCTGCCGCTGTTCGTTGGTTTCATGGTTTTTCCTCACGATACTCTCCCACAAACAGGTTTTCCACCGCATTTCTCAACCGCTCGTGAGTTGCAGCCAGCCGCCGATCGCAGACTTGCACCTTTGGAAACTTTGTTCAACCATACTTTTCCAGCTGACTTTTCCACCTTGCGGTTCTTCGCCTTCCTTCTCAACGTGGGAATCGAGATAACTGAATACAATTGTCGAAGTGTGTGTGTGGGTGTGTGGGTGGGGGGTGGGTTCCGAGGGGAGAGTTGGGCATCATGCCCGTGTGATCACGACAAATCATTTATCCAGCATAGCCTCAGGGGCGCTGTAGCGTGAGAGCTGCAGCAGGGCCCATCAGGGAGATGTTAGTGCTTGTCACACCAAGCCACGGGACACCAGGACACTGAGACACCTACTTCGCACCGAGTTCGGGTGATATACGACGAACAATACAGCAAAGCTTGACAATCTGCATCCAAGAGACCACACGCTGTGCTTGTAGGAAATTGGTGCGCTTGGTTGCCAAAACAACTCCCATCTTCCTAGAGTCTGCTCTGTGACTTGTTCTGAAAAGAAACGCTGAATGAGAAAAGAAAACACAAACAACACTACCAAATCCACAGAAATGTACCAATTCCATCACAGGGGATCGTGAGCGTCCACCCCGACCTGCTGTTTGTGACCCACTCGTCCAGACCCGTCGCCCACCTCCGAGTCGCTGCCGGCCGCCCAGAGTCCGTTCCCCAAATCCACCTGGTGGGAGCTGAGACGAGCCGAAATCAGATGTCAGATGATGTGTGTGAAACCAAATCAGGGGATGTGTGCTTCATCCTGGTGGACACCGATCGGGAGATGTGGCATGCGGCATGCAGCGGATGCTTCCCCGGTCGCGCCGACCCAGCTCGGGGATCCATCGGGACCTACCAAAGCCAATAGACTCACATAGGACAGACGGTCGGACCAGACTGGATTGGACCTGGACGCCCCAGCACTGGATTGGACCTCCAGCCATGTTACCCTTAAAAAAAATAACAACTATAGAACACATACCCTCTGAGAAGGTGATTGGACCCTCCTGGCACCTACATAACAGTGTCTCCAATCCACTTTCTGAGAAGGTACGACTGGATCCCTGGGGCATGTTAAGACTCAACCAACTCTGCACCTCTCCCCGGGGTCGCGGCCGGGCGGCGATCGACCACACGGTGGCCGCCAAGCGAAGATGGGAGATGGTCCTGTCGGCAGATGGGTGCAGAACACAACGCGACGTCTGGAGCCCAAACCTATGGAGGGAGGGGTTTCTTCATAGACCTGAGGGCTCTGGGGTCAAAGCAATCCGTCTATTTTTGGGAGTCGGGCTCTCTGTTTGGAGCGAAAGAAGGTGGAACTCAAGGTCTTGTCTCCACTAGCAAAAGCACAAAGACACAAACTGTTGGACATCTAGGTTGGGTGAGTGGAGCGGTCTACAATGATCTACAAGACCTTGGGTACTTGGCGTTTGATCAGCCGGCCCAGGACAGTTCGCAGCCAAACGGCCTGTATTTGCGGTGGTCTTGTACAAAAACCTTGAGCCAAAAAGGCTGGATTCCCTGTCAACCTGATGTTGACACCAGGAAGAATAGATCAAATTAAGGCAACAAGGTACAACACTCTTCACGCGACGAGAAGAAAAACATCTACCACGCCACCAAGAAAACGCCTTGCTCCGACCTGAAAACCCTTCACCCACCGGTGGCTTCACCGAGCCTCACCGTAGCCTTCAAAGACCATAAAAAAGAGTTCCGTTGACCTGGTGTCATAAGTGAAAAATCCTTAATTCGATGGGTTCTGCGGTCCACTGTTTAACTTCTTCAAACTCGGTGGGCGAACTCTGTGGGCGAAGCGGACTTCCCCCAGACCAAACGCGAGACACCGGTGGTCCACCGAGGCCTTCTCCCCGCACCGGTCCCGGTCCTCTGCTGCTGGGCGTCCAGCACGGTGATTCCGTGCATACATCCCGCGAGCAAGGTCCTCGGGACGCAAGACGACTCGGGGACGAGTCGGTGCGAAAAGAACCGACGAGAACTGAGACGTGGTGGGGAGACGTGGTGCTCGGAGCATGTCACATCCAGTTCAGGTTTCCAGGCCACAGGTCCAACAAAAACGCTGGCGACTTTCGTCTGTGGCGCCGGCTGGGATCCGCTTTTTCAGAAAGAGCAACAAGTGCATTGTGCATTGTCCATCATTTTCCTGATAGTCTACAAAACTAATTTGGGGACGACTAGCAGGGAAGAGGTAGGAGCAGGGAAGAGGTTGGAATTGTGTGTGTTTTTGATCATGGCTAAGGGGTATGATAATCACATACGTTCACTGCAACACTGCGCATTGCTTTCATGTTGTCAAAACAGGTTGCTTAAGGTGTCATTTACGGACTGGTTTATGCAGCAAATGCACTGGCCACAGTAAGCCGTACAAGTAACAATTCTTGATACTTTCATGCGTGTTGCCAATCCATTGGAGTATACTAAGGTGTGCAAAGTGTGCTGTCAGCAAAGTGTGCCCATGCGGTCATGCTACCAACTGCTGCTTGTGGCCAACCTGCCTGCTACTACCTTAAACTCCTACCTCTGCCCCGCTAGTTGGCTTCTCTGGCTAACTCTTTTAGCGTAAGGCGTAAGCAAAGTGAGGAGCTTTATGATACAGAATTGGTTGCTGCCTTTGAGGTCCCCGCATTGAACAAATACATATGCCAGACCTGCACATCACCTGCGAAACACATGGGTTCAACGCTCACGCGCCCGTTCCAAGGTCAAAGAGGCAGACTATGAACACCGCCACAGACAAATCAGAACGCCACGAACCCAAATCGACCACAAAAACGAAAAAGACAATGCCTTAGAAGCATTCACTTTGTTGCCCGCCCGGAATCTTCCTCAGTCCAGACTTTCGCCAATTCCCCAACTGTGAGGAGTTCCAAAATCCCTTTCGGTGGTCTCCCAAATGTTCACCCATACAGAGAACTATCCCGGCCTAGTGGTGGAGAACTCCGCGGGGTAAAGCCAACAAGTCCAAAAAGCGAAAACCGAAATTTCTGGGTAAGAAATGGTAAGAATGTGTTTGATGTTCTATTGAAGTGGTATGTCGTGGTGGGGGTTTCCAAGTCACTCCAAGTCCGCGTCCACTCTCGTGAACTCACCCAGACCCGCGGATGTTCACCCCGAGCTGCGACCCTCGGCAGGCCAGAGAGGTGACCGGCGTGCCGGTGGGCATGGTGACGGCCGAGGCCAGTTCCTGAAGGAGCCGAGTCGAGTCGAGGTGGCCGGCGGTCAGCCGGCTGAGTTGGTGTGAGTGGGAGGAAGAACCGGTGCATACCGGTGCGCTTCTTCTCACATACAGATAACTCAAACATACTGAGACACGGATGAGGCATGTATACTTCTTTTGTTCAAGTTGTTGATTACAAGTGCCCACATGTCGAAGGCCCCTTTGTCTTGTTCGCACCATCGCACCGTCTTCCATGGCGTCTGACACTGTGTTCGATGGATGTGGCTCAAAATACGGCTCAAAACAGGTATCCTGGTCACCCCACACTATCATTGCTCTTCGCCCCCCCCCAATCACCAAAAGCACCAAAGCTAGTCTCAACACTTCATGTAAGGCAACCAAAATTGTGGCCCCGCTTCCCCTATAGTACTAGCAAATACCCTCTATTTCACCACCCAAAAGCCCCCGCTTTCCGAAATGTGGAGAGCAAAGTGGCTTTTCTTCGTGCTCGGACTCGTGGCTTCGGAGGTGTTGGAGATGCCAATGACCGAAGCAAGTACCCCGTGGATCCCACACAGAAAAACAGGTCCAGTCCGATCCAGAAGAACCTGGTCGGCTGCACACGGCCATTGGATTCTGTTTTGATATGATCAGCCGATCAGCTAAAATGAGACCAAACTGACCTGTAGGGGACGGACGGATATAGGTACTTTGAGATAATATATACCAACAACCACCTACGGGCAGAACTGTTTGCATGAACATGTGCCTTTGCAAGGTCATGCTTGCAAAAAAAATATACCTGAATGGCTTCGGGTGGAAAGCTCAGCATGCGGTGGTCCAGGTAATTATGAGGATTGGACGAACAGTTCGCCCTGGCATGGGCCGCAAAATGGCGCCTGGTTTGCACGAGAAGAAAGGGCTAGCTCATGACCATCGCGCCATAGAGTCTGTTCAAAAAGCAGCAACACTTGATTACTACCAGTGGGCTTTCAGTCAAGGCTCGGATGCTTCCGAGATAGCGCCTGAGAGGTTATACCTTGGCAGTCCAAGTTGACTACAGCCAATCAAACAAACAAACAAGACCTCCAAACTGGGTTCTGTTGATGCGTGACCGCTGATTGGCACCTTATTCTCTTTTCTTCGACCAAAAAGAACAGAGAAACAAAAAACAAGAGACACATCTGAGTCTTTGGCCCAAAGATGATCATGCAAATTCACTGAATTGGTTCACCTCGGAACATCCTTCTGAGCCGATCTCACACGCGCGCGGGGCCCCCTTCGGGGGCCGGTGCCTCGGCGAAGCGAAAGGGGCGGAAAGCCTAGGGCTCCTCGGATCCTCAGGTTCGGTGGTTAGACCTCCCTGGCACCCACCCCAACCACCAAACCGAAACGGAGCTGGTCCAGCCCCAAAAACGGCTTAATATAGTTGGGGGGGGGGGCTTGCACGCATTCCATTTGGCCTCCGGGCATGAGTGAGTGAGAAAAACTTACGCGATGACACCTTCGAATTCTTATGATGTTTGGCAAGAAAGGCGCAATGAGACCAGGGTGCAATGAGACATTGCGGGGGTGTTGCCCCACCACCAAGAGGTTTCCAGCCATCTCCTCGGATCGGACGTGATCTGCGACGTCCACGGAGTCCAAGCTCCCGTGCCGGATCCGTGTGAACACGTCCGTTCAACGTCTTTAACAAACGGGGAATCCGTGGGAACATGCCGTTTGAAAAACAAACGCTAAAGCTATATATGTTGAAGACACCGCAATAAACCATGCGTCGGTAATCCTTTTTTGAGGAGGGTGTACTAATGCGTATTGAACATCAATGCGATTGTTGCATATATGAATTGTTACTGCTCTAGACCTCCAAAAGAATGAACGCTTTTAGTTCTGGTACATCATAGGCAGGGTGAAATTGAACATCCTCTGGTACACTACTTCGTCTTTACCGATCACCAATATGCGAACATTTATTGCCATCCAAATCCTGGATGCATCAAAGACTGGGTGTTTTCTGGGAGTTGTTCTGACATAGCGGAGCTAGGCAAAAATCGGATCTGGTGACTCCGATCATCTCCGACCTGTTGCAGGGCAGTGACCCAAAGGCACAATATGGACTTGATTCAACTCGGTGTTTCGATCAAAGTGTTTGGACATGGTTTGGACCCATGGGTCGCACCCCATGTCCCATCGCATTGAACATTGATCTACCTGCAGTCACAAGACGGGGTGCTATCCATGGAGGTTAGGGGTGCCCAGCTACTCCACTCACTTAGGGACTAAACAACAAACCTTTGTGACCCCTGGTACATCTCTTTTTGCGGAGCAAACCTTGTTCGTGACCCCTGTGGATTTTGAGTGGCTGGAGCAACCTGATAGGAACAATAGAAACCCAAACACTCCATGGGACTGCCATATTTGCCGATCAGTTGGGGTGGTGCCATCGGGGGTCTGTCTGGGGCGGCAGTCCTATGGCAGTCCCAGACTCGTCGTGTCTGGGATAGAAAGTCTTTCCCCCAAAACGGGATTCGCCCTGTTGAAACATCGAACCATGCGAGAGAGGAGGTGTGCCGTCCCCACAGTCTCACTTCCGCCGAGACCGAGGCGAAGGCGTTGTTATCGGGAATGGACCGGCGGAGAAGCTCATACTTAAGCACTGTGACCTCTCCAAGACCAGGATCCCTAACCGGAAAGGGGCTAAGGATCCAGACCAGATTCTTCATGTTACACATGAGACCGATGCACCTCTCTGAGTCTGTAGCTTGCTCAATCTTATAGAAACTCATAGAGGAACTCTATATCTAGCATATCAAATGCATTCTTATCAATTTCATATATCCTCATATATATCTTATAGCCTTCGTTGAGGCTGGAGCGTCTCGCGCACCCCTGCGCACGCTGCGCACGCTGCGCCTGGCGGGATCCCACTCACCCCATTATACCACGGTGTTCTAGACCAAGTTTCAGTGCCTAAAAAAGAAACCCATTCAGCTGTCATAAGGGCATAAGGAATAACAGAAAACAACAAAAAACACATTTGCAAAGGAAACCCATATAGGGCATAGGTCAAGGCCTCAGAAACCCATTCGCTGTCGGAAGTCCGGTGGATCAACAGAGGGCACCGAACGAATCCTGCCCACCCAAGTGGCGATCGCCACGGTTGCAAAGGACTGGTTGTGCGGCAGGCGAAGGGCCAACTCCAACCTGCGGCGCGAAGGGGCGAGGATCGAATTCCAACAGTTTCAAACTTGTTACTACTAGCTTCTTGCTACTACTAGTAAGGCCCTTGTTACTAGAAGCGATGCACTTGTTACTAGTAGCTTCTTGTTACTACTAGAAGGGGTGCCATTCATGGAGAGACCAAGTGGTGCCCCCGAACATCACATTCGAATCACGGTTTCTGGATGGGACGAGCCACACCCTTTTGTGACCTCCAAAAATGGACGAATTCTTCAGTGGGGGTCCGGAATGGGCCGTCCCGCCTGGTGCGTGTTACACGGGAGTCCACCTAGGGTCCGGCCTCCACTGGGTGAGTCCAGTCGAAGGATTTCCTGAATCCTTCGCTATACCAAAAGTACTCTTGAAACGGCACGTGCTCCACTCGGTTCACTAGGCCCAGGTAATCCATTTACTTGGACAAACGCTTTTCTTGATGCCTACAGTAGCCTTCCAAAACCATTAAAAGAAAGGTTGACAACCTGGTTTTGGTGTAAACTCCTGTCTGAAACAACGGTTCTTCGTTGAAAAACCTTTGAATCAATGGCGTTACCCAGGACTCGTAGGGTGATCATTGAAGGGGTCCATGCATGACACGACCACTGTTTGCCGCTCTAAGGAACCGGTTTCCCGACGTGAAATCCAAGTTCAACTCAACCAAATTCACATAGTGTAGCACTTAAAGAGACCTGAAATGACACTCAACAATAGTTGACAGATAAGAAATAGACCAAATTCAACCATATTGTATTGTTGAAATTGACATGGAATGCCACTGAAAGAGATCAACACAGTGAGTGTAGCACCGTGTAGCACTCGGAAAATAAAAAAAAAAAACATGCTGAGACTCCCAACCTCAAGGGAAATTGGGATAAGTTCGATTAGGTTGTTCCTCAGCTCCCCCAAAGTCTTGCCTAGTCTGGTAGGTGTCCAGCTGCTCCAAAAACGAATGCCCGGGCTTTGCCCGGCTTCTCTGAAAACGAACCGTGACGCGTCTGCCGCGTCTGCCTGATACCCCTTTTGTGCACGGAGTGCACCAACACTTCGGGTGACTCCTCGGTGCTGAAGCCGGCAAGAAGCGTCTGCCTGGTGAAGCACAACCAATTCATGTCCGTTGAACTCAACCAAGCCACCCCCGATGTGCCACGTGAAAACAAACATCGTTGGTCTTCCTCCGTGAGAGATTGGGGCATCTGCTGCCTGGGGGTCTGAGGTCCATTGGACTGGTTGGTTCATCTTAGTGAAGACGTCCTGACTGGGCAAGCGGGTCTTCCTGCTCCAAATCCATGATATCAAGTCTTCAAGCTCCCAAAAAGAAATTAACACAACATTTCTAAGACGGGCATCGTTTCATGACACCCAGATGCTCCACGTATGGAATATTATGGAATGTTTACCTACCTAGCACTTCCAACAGGTGCCCAATGGAGACCTGTTTACGTAGGGTAGGGTAGTCGAACGCCAGGACACCCAGACAGGATGATCCTGGTACATTGACCCCTGAAACATCCTGAAACCATCCAATGCGTGCAAATATGCCAGCCCCATGCATCGTTTCATGACATGGATTCCGAGGACTCCCCAAAAAAACCCTGTCCATGTCATGGGAAATTCCTCCCATTCGCCCAGTTAGATAAGAGAACCCTAGGGATCCAGTGGTACCGTACCTCGGAGGGGTACGACTGGACCCTGGCACCATCTGGCACCGACAATGTCTCCAAAGACCGTACCTCAAAGGGCGCAGTAACCTGTCCACCTGCATAGTACGTCAAGTCTGACATATAGGTCCTCTCCAGGTCTGCCCACGTCCTCCTGGAGGTCGTGTTTTGGGACTGACCACGTCCAGTCAAATGTGGTCCAACTGACCTGTAGGGATACTTTTTTTTCATCTGCCAGGTCTCCAAAGAAAGAGAAATGGATTCCACCTGGCAGGAATGCGTACGGACCCTCCATGGCAGGGGTCTGGGCCCGAACCAAACCTTTTGAGGGCCCGGATTCTTAGGGCGATAGGTGTTTTGCAGCGGGTTGCATGTACAATTTAGTATGATTCCATAGTCTAGTTCAGGGGTCAATACAATGAAACACCACTGAGATTATGAATGTCTTTGTCCGCGACACACCATCGCTGGCCCAAGACACTCTCAAGCCCAGCGCCACACGAGACTGCGACAATGGCAACGTCATGGATACTCTTCCTGGCGCATGAATTCATCACGGGGGGAAAAATACACTTTAAAATACACCAAACGTGTGAGATGCTTGGCGCAGGGTCGGGGACAAACCCTCGTGATGATGAGTAAGTGGAGGACGGACTCGCATTCGGGCGATGATGGGCGAGGATTTTTTCGGATAATTCGGAGGATTCTGGCAGGTTCGATGAGGTTCTTGATTCTGTTTACCACTCACCAAGCCGAACGTGATCCAGTGGTACCTTCTCAGGTACGGCAATTGGAGGCACTGTTATGTAGGTGTCCAGTCGTACCTTCTGACAAGGTACGACTGGATCCCTAGGGCAAGCAAACTGTGTCAACTTCCGCTCCGTCTCAGCAGTGAATCGGCACTGCGTCGGCCTCACTTTCGTTCAGATGAATGGAATCGACCATGATTCAACGTTAACAGTCAGCCGGGAATCCCTTTCAACGCAGGATTCAACACTGCTTGAGATGGATTCTCCGCAGAGGCAGTCTGTCAAGTCCTCCATTTTTTCATTCGCAACCACAAGTGAGATCTAGTCTCATGGTCAAGCATGGGGAAAAGCTCAATTTAGGGCAGGCACGATTGGCACACCTCCCTATAGCTTGCAAAGGACCGAAAGAGGCAACCGTTTGACAGGGACATAAACTGAACCAACCAACAGCGCATCACAAGAAGGAATGCTAAGGTCTCTCACGTTACGTTCCCTATCATTGGCGGGGCCCAAATACGGAGGCAAATGAGCAAGGAGCTCTCCCTGAGGGTGCTGCTGAAGTACCTGCTCAAACCAACGGAATTCATCAGACTTCAAATCTTGCTTCATTCCCCATAGGAAGAAGGCGGCTGCGGTGCAGCCGGGTGTGACTCCTTCCACCTGTGGGAAAATCACGGTCTTTGCAACTGAGGCTTGAGAAAACTCCCAATCGAACTGTACAAAACATCTATTTTTCATCTCATCCGAAACTGGAAAAAAGATCCCTCCACTCTTCAGTTGCTGTCTGCTATCAAGAAAATCACTCTCGATCGCTTCAAGGTCAGTCTCCATGGCCCCACATGGTTGAGGTCCTTGAAGCCGGAGCGCTTCCTTCCTCTTCATACCCGGTAGGTCACTGAAGTCCTTCCCATCCCAAATCCGGTCGTCCAGGAAGGAAGTGGCACAAAGCCACTCATAGCATCTGTTGGGGATGCCTTTTCGAGACACATACCGGAGGTGTCCCTGTGCACGACTCAGGGACCAGAAGAATCTCAAGCAGACCGGACAAACTGGGTGGCTCAAGAGCATGTGCTCTGGTGCCCTCTCGTTGTGTGCATGAACCTGATGCATGTGCAGAGCCTTTTCCGATCGAAACTTGGCTCCACACTGGCATTCAAAGCTCTCTTCCAAGGCGCGGTCCGGTTGCTGAGGCTCAGACGCAAAGGCATGTTCAACAATTCTACGCACCTCTATGTACTTCTTCAGGGCTTGTTTGACAAGTCTTTTCCATCCCGGTTTGCCTGAGCTCCAAACTGGGCAGAGCTCCCACCAGGTCGTCCCCCATGGCTGCAAGTCAACATAGTCCTGCATCCAGCCCAAGTCATAGGAGAATGCCTGAAGCCAGCAGTCTTCCCGGAGCTCATGCTCCCGCTGCAGGCCATCTTTAACCAGGCCTGGGGCGTGCTTCCATACACGAGGCGCAAAAAGAAGCCGGGCCACAGCCAACTTCACTCGCAGGCAAGGCTGGCCTGTCTGGTGCAAGATAGTGCTGTCGCTCCAGACCTTCGGCTCTTTCTTGGTTGCAACCTGGAAAGAAACTTGTCTCAAAAGACCCAAATAGCAGGCTTGAAGCTTCCTAGGTTTCCTGACAATGCTCCCCAGCTACCAGCACCATAGAATAAGCGCGAAAAAATAAGCGAGTCAAGCATTGCTAGGCGGGACTTCAAGCTCAGTCGACTGTTCCTCAGGATCGGTCTGGAAAGCTGTCGAAACATACCCCATGCCTGGGCAATCCTCAGCTTAATGTCCCTTCCCAAGTCACCCGCAGAGTCAATGAAAGTTCCCAGATGCTTGTAGGAAGCGCCCAGCTGCAAGTCTCGATGGCCAAAAAGAACCGGCTGGGCTAAAAGGCGCCGTCGAAATTCTGCAGCACCTGCTCCCACAAATGTGGGTAGCCCTTCCGTTTTTCCTCTTTGAAGATTCAAAGTGAAGCCATGCCGAGAAAAGAGGCGGTCCACAAACTCAAAAGTGGCCTCAACTTCTGTCATCAAAGTGTCTATAACAGGTAGAAATGACTTGGACTGACAGATCGTCGGCCCAGACCACTGGCAAGCCCGGGTGGTTCAGCTTGCTGAGAGCCACTTGCCTCTCTGTTCTCTGTGCCAACCATTGCTCCATCTCTCTGATGAGGGGCGCCATAGCCAGATGAAAAATAGAGTCAGCAAGTGGACTTCCGGGTCGACTACCTCTATTGGTGGCCACAGGCTCGTCAACTATCGAACTCCAAGTGAAACTATGCAGCTCACGAAACCACTCACGACGAAAGCCTTCAGGCAAGAGACCCGAGCTCCCCACCATCCTGTCGATGTCCTCCTTACTGAAGCCATCTTGGAGGAGCTGACGAGTGAGCACCTGTTTGGCCTTTTCGTTGGACAAATCTGCCCCCAGCACTAGCTCTCTCACAAGGGAGTGATAGGCTGCTTTCAAGTCAAAGAAAAGGATGCACGTTGGGAGTTGGCAGCTATACGCACAGCGCACGAAAAGCCGCATGGCCAAACTCCCGAAAGCTGCCTCCTGATGAGGCAGACCACCAATTTGGCCTTGTGGCCTCTCTTTCTCCAACTCATCCATCAGCATCGGCCGGAAGCATGCATGTGCTCGTCTGGGAAGCAAGTTGAGCAGCATGATCCCTCTGAATTGGTTCACCTGCATGGCATTCCCCACTTTGGGGATCATCTTCAAGACTCCTCCCTTCCAGAATGTTGCCTCCATGCAATGTAGCATAGACTTCAGAAGAAGGTCAAAAGATGTGGCGCTAAGAGATGGGCACCTGAGTGGAGCCAGACACTGGGAACTCCGTCAGGGCCTGGTGCCTTCTTGGCCTTTGTGTCTCTCAAGACTCGTTCAAGGTCCAGTAACGAAGGCAAGTCTTCAATCTTTGGTGCCTCAGCGGTTTTGTTCTGGTGCTCTTCAACGACTTCTTTATACAGCTCAACAAGGGAGGTCTCGGAGCCGGCTTCCAAAGCACACAAGTATGGTCGCCACTGGCCTTGAAGTCTTTCATTTCGTTCTGCTGCCAGAGCATCATTTCTGGCCTTAGTCTTTGGCAAGTGCTGCTGTACAAGTCTCCACCACTCACGTGGGTCTTTGTTATCCTCGGCTTCTGGCAGGCGGCTGGCCAGAAGCTCCCAGAAGTGCTGGGCGTCACGGCGAGCTAATGTGGTTGCCCAATTTCTCATGGCCGTGAAACACCATTGGAACACTCCTTGTCCCCAGTGGAGCTGTACAAGAATATCATCTTTGACCTTCAGCCATCCTCGAGGGCATACCCTCTTCTGCCAAACCTGAAAAATGAAGGAAAGCCAAAAGCACCTGAGCTCTCTTCGTCCCTGCAGCATTCGTGCCCTCCACATTTGTTTCTGCAGGATGGCTGCTCTAGCTTCATCAGAGAAGAAGGGCTTGGAGTGGAACTGTTTCCTCTTGGAGAGTACTTTCTCGGCAGCTTCGTGCATCTGCCCAATGAGCTGACTAGCATGCTGATGAACGTCATGCTTCCAGCTAATGGGTTTCAGCCGTCGAGCAAAGGCTTCCATTAGACCAGTGCCCGTGTCCGTCAGTCCAGCGTCGTCATAAGGTCCCAGACAGGGCTTGGGCTTGACCGTCTTTCTAGCCCCAGGCATTCCTCCTTGCACATCCAAAAAGACGGCTTTGTGGTCGTATTCACATTCAAACTATCGTCCACCCAAGATCGCAGGGTGCACGTCATCCAACTCTGCGGCATCAAGACGAAGTCAATCCGTGACTCTTTTCCTGTGGGGTGGGTCCATGTTGAGCTCGGTCCACTGTGGATACCATCCCACGTGCTTGGTGCACAGAGCCCCTTCTCGAGAAGGAAGGTGTGAAAAATTTGCCCTGACTCATTTTCCTCTTCTGCAGCAAAGTGACTGACGGCAGGAGAGGTTATACTCCCCAATCTGGCATTGGCATCACCCGCCAGCACCAAAGGAAGATGTTTGAGATGTGCAGGGATTGCTTTGCTTACCTCATCCCAAAATCCTTGAACTCGATCATTCCCAAGTCCTGAGTGCGGAGCATGAAATGTCCCAGAGCAGGGGAGTCATCTTGTGCAGGCCAAGGATGATACCTCCCACTCCTTTCTCGCATGGGTGTGCCAAAATCCAAAAGTGTTCATTCGTCAGGGTCTTCCTTGTCAAACGTGTTTCTTGAATTGCAACCACATTGGCTCCCTTGACATGGCATTCTTCTAGAAATTGAGTCAGCCGAACATAGCCAGTCAACTCTTTGGCTTTCAAGGTCATAGCATTGTAGGTAAGACAACGAAGGTCCAACTCAAGGTTGGGTCCTGCTTCGGTGTGTTGCTGCCATGTCTGTAGTGTCTCCAAAACATCATCAGAAACCTCAACTCGAGGGGCCGGGAGAATCAGGTCCCCATCCTTCCAGTATTCCCTCAGATCCTGTCGAAAAGTGGGCCAGATCCAAGGGAGACATCTGAATGCTGGTCCCTTCACATCGTAATAAAAGGCCCAGACCTCATCAGTAGGGAAGGAGTTCTGTGCTGCATGCTTGGAGAGCACATCAGCACTTTCGTTGCCAGGATCCCCGCTATGCCCCTGAATGTATAGCATGGCTGGATCACTCCCGGCCAGAGTAGATCCAGAAGCTGAAAGACTGCACGAGCTGCTCGAAAGATAGGGTGCACACTCGACCCCTGTGCACAACCACATACACCCCATCCAGCAGACGTAGAGTCAAAATGTAAGAAAACAGGTGGTGTCCGGTCCGACAGAAATCCCAGAGACCTGAAGGTGTCAAACACCCACTTTCCTGCCATCAAACATGCCATCAGCTCAACATCGTAGGATCCCCATCCAGCTTGAAGGTGATGTTGGAGGTGACCTCCAAAGAACCACCCCTCATGACTTTGGATCCAGAGCACGGCCGCTGCCCCTGCCATGTCATTGATTTTCGACCCATCGGTGTATATATGAACAGCCAAAGGGCATTCTCCCTTCCAATGTGGCAGAGATATCCAGTCCATGCTGGTTTCCATCCAACGCCTGTTCAAATTGAAGTGGCCGACTGCAACATGGCGGCAAAACCATTTGGAGAAGGCCACCACACCTCGAAAATTAATCGGCTGGGTAGCGCAGGACTGGGTAGGCAGAGGAGCTTCCATCTCAGGGTCAGGTCTGCATGTGGTGTCAGTTGATTCTTGTCGAACCAAGACGCGAGGCAGCCAAAGCGCAAATAGGACTTATGTGCGAAGCCGTACAAGATTAGCACGGGTCAAAGGTTGGAGAGCAGCCGCAGAAAGTCGATACTGGCCGCGCTCAAGTAATTCCGGATTTTGTGAAACTTGAGCGATCAAATGGCGGATCGCGTTAGCCTGTGCCTTTGGCGTCGGGATACGGTCGGGAGCGAAACTGAATTCAGCCAAACGCCCTAGATTCTTCAAAAGTGACCTGATCTCACTTTGGGCCTGACGGTATGCGACACGGGACACAACACGCTGTTCGCCTTCAGCGAGTACGTTGGCAACAGCGCGGTCAATTGCCGGGGCGTCTCGGACTAAAAGCGGATTTGCGGCAAGCCGAAAAAGCATGCTGTATGCACGTGATGGAGCGTGTGTGGCGTCGGGACCAGTTTGAAGAATCTGCGCGGCAGCGGCATTGTCATGGCCACGTCGAAAAGCGTCTGCTGTGACGATAAGGTGATTTCCTGAAAAGGCCTTGAGCTCTCTGGTGACCCAATTGCCAAACGGGTCATCAGGGACGTGCACTCCGCGCCAATCGCCAATAAATGCAGTCTGCAACGCATACCCACGGGATGCAGCAAGACTGTTGACAATTTGACGTGGCCGGAAAGAATGTACATGACTCCATTCAGGCCCATTGCAGGTAGGTCAAAGCTGTGCGTTTTCAAGTGCACTTCCTGCCGGCCTTCGTGGATGTTGAAAGTTTGGGATCTCAGTTGCGCTCCTTCAATTCCATGTGTCGCCATTCTCAGTGGCGCTCTAGAGTTCGCATGGAACGCTCTATGCATCAAGTCCTCCAAGGACTTGAAAAAAGATTACAAGAGTGATTATATATGTGGATCTGGTGGCTGAAACTAGCTCAGTCCCATACCAATGGATGCTCCAGGTACGAAATTTATGGATGGTCTGACTGAACTTCACATCCTGAGCAGAAGAATCCTGGCTCAAGAGCTGTGACCGTCACAGGATCCCTGTTTCACCGTAAAAACCTATGGGAAACAGGGAAAAAATGCTTTTTGTTGCTTTCATAAACCATAAGCCTTTTGGGAAAACAGGTGAAGAAACCCTATGGTCCAAAATCGGCTTCTTCACCTCTGTCGTCGCTGTGCCGACACGTCCGTGTCACCGCCGACCGCGACCGAAAGCGCCTTCGTTGAAGGAGGCCAGCTCGTTCCCCGCACGGTTCGCTGTGGCTTGAGCACCGAAGAATTGCACCTGCGGTTTGCAGGTGGAAAGCCGCGTTCTCAGTTCGGCGTTTGACGCCAGAAGACTGGATTGGCCACCTTTGCCAGAAGAACATGGAATCTGCGTACCCCCACCTTTGGCAGCTTCCAGGCTTGTTGAGCCAAGAATTAAACACGTTTGGCAAACAAACAAAAGCACAAACTTTATAGACCAGGACCTTCCCTCACAGCTACTCCGTATATACAGAAGGAACATAATTACACCCAAAACCTCCGTGGAGCCCCAAAAAGGACCAAAATGCATCACCCTTTCTGGACGAAGACCACATGAGCCATCACCCTCACCCACCCAAAACCATACCTACCACGCTCCTTGCAAGGAGCCGCCCAGTCCTTCACGGCGGGACCCCCCGAAAATTACCAAAAACCACACCCGAATCCCGAAGCCATGGCCCACCATTGATTAATCGCCCGAATCCCGCACCACCATTGTTTTACTATGGATATCTAAGGATGTTACATGATTTTAAGCTACAAGAACCAGGTCAACCAGCCTTAAATGGAAAGCGAAAGGGCACCCGCACCGCACCCGCCACACGTTTGGGCACCCGGCCTGGTGGAGTCCAGCGACCGCCCAGGCCAAGCCGGGCAGTTCCAAGAAGTCCACCACTTGGCCTGGGACTTGCGGCTCCGGTCCAGCCGGGAAACATATACTACACAGATTCTGGGATCTTCGGGTGATTTACCATGATTTACCTAAAGAAAATATGAAGTGTCAACTTGCTTGGCCGACCTAGCCTACAAGACCATGGGTAAACCGAAAAAGAACCAGTTAGTTTGCGCGTTCGTGCACCAGGTCGCTCTCCACCGGCAGCACCAAGCTCGGCAGCCTGGGGACCAGCGCCGAAAAAGAGCTTTCGGGGCTGGTGGGTTGCGTCCGCGGCTTTCGGTCTCCATTTCGGTTGGTTTGCCCGGTGTTTTGTGGAATCTCATGAGTGGTTTGTTGGCCCTTCCGGAAAGCTGGAAGTAAGCTCACTCACCTGGCAACGGAGAGTGGCAAGGTGAGGTCTCCGGAGATTTCGTAGACCCAAGAAGTCGAGCCACCCTTTGAAAAGGGATTTTACACGGCAAAACTAGATCAAACAGGATCAAACATGTTAAAACTAGTCTTGGACTTCGGTATCCGCGGGACCGCCCAAACCCTGTGGGCTCAATGAATTGTGTTGGATTGGGACTTTAGCATGCTTTAGCTTTCAGGCACCTACATTCCTGGAAGACCTTGCACAAGCCTAGCTCAGATTTGCCAGGTGAAAAAGTTCATTCACATGAAGTACTCACATGTCACATGTGTACTCAGAGTAAGAGCACGAGTCAAAACCTGGTGAGCACAACAGTTTCTGGTGGCGTCTCCTCACAAGCTTGTATCCGACTGACTCTTTGTAGTGGCTTCGCTCTGAAATCATGAAACCTCTTCCCGATGGAACTGACCATCTTCCATCGTTCAGAACCGCAGGTAAAACACATGAGACAAGGCCAAACGCAACACCAACGCCACCACCGGCCAATCCGACCAAGCTGCATCTTCTTCCTTCCCGGAAGCAAGGTTTTCAAATCAAAGATTTCGACCTGAGCTGCGTTGGCGCGCACCGGCGTCCAAGCTGCACCGGCTTTCAGGTGCAGAGCCGGCAGAGCCGGCAGCCGTGGGCGTTCCACAGCATTCGAGATTGAGGTTTTCAAGGCGTTGGCATCATTTCAACGAGTGGTTTCAGGAATCTGCCACATGTGAAAAGTCCAACACGGAGCCAGCAAAATCAATTTCAAGCTTGGTTAAAGAAATTGGTGGGATTCTTGGCGTGGTGCCATCGTGCAGAACGCAAAAGGACTGCAGTGTTGCATTCCTGTTCTGTGTGGGACCATTCTTTGGCCAATCTTTGTGACCCAAACTCCCAACTGTTGCCCCAAGTTGCCCCAGGAACTGGAACCCCGAAATTCTTCACAGGTGAGAATCCGCACCCCAAATTCCCGTCTCAGGCGAAAGGCCGAGAAGTCGTTGCTGCCAACGGCCAAGAAAGCGCCATGGATGAAGTGAAGCCTTGTCGAGAAACGGTCGAAACCTGGAGACACGACAGTCCACTACCAAATCGATGGGAAGAACACCCACAGATCGAAGTCGAAGAGGACACCCAAACATTGGCAACCCAAGTCTACTAGTCTACAGCAGTGGAACACTGTGAAACACCATGCTGGGAGCAAAACCTATCTAAGTTCACCAGGAAACCAACCAAAGGGTGGTTTATAGACCCCTCTGACTGTGTATATGTTCCATTTTATTACTGTATATAGCCATCCACCATGGGTGGCGCTGGTGCAACGCCCGAAGCGCGCTCGCACCTCGTGGGCGCAGACTTCACGACTTTCAGCCGCTTGTAGGGCCTGGGAGCACGAAGCGACCAGCCGGGCGTCCTGGCGTCCCCCCCCATGACGCGACCCGGGCGTCCGGCCCCCCCCTTCGTTTGTTTGCCTCTGGAGACTCTGGTCAGGGGTCTGGGGTTTCTCACCAATCTCTTAAGTTTTGAGATGTGTTGGACCAGAAAAGCTGTTTGGAGCGACTGGCTATAGAAAACGAACAGCCGAACTAAAGAATTCCCTGGAGACCCAAGTCGGGATGGTTTTTGGCAGTCTTAGGGGGCCTCATGGAGTATTAGCAATACCATCCACTTGGATGTTCTTGAGGAACTGGGGAAAACACAATATAAATATACATATATGTGTGTATTTCCCAGAAGGGGCGTTAACAATTTTTCCATTTCCAGCCATAGTGAGCTCTAAGACTCATGAAGTATGCATGACACACTAGCAGGTTAGACCCAAAAGCTAAATTAAAAGCTGCATAAGGCATCAACTCAAAGCACGAACAATGCGACTTAACGGAACAGAGGAGTGATTCAAAACACATCCCTCGTGCCAACATGCCTTCGGCATGGAAATGGCCGTGTCCTGTGTCTCTCTCTCTCTCTGTATATTTGAATCGCGCGGAATCGCAGCAATTAGAATCATGAATTTGCAAATGTGCAATCTTAGTGTTTGTGTACACGTTGATTGTTTTGAGGTGGGTTTTATCCATCTTAGATGGTCTTTTAATAGTTGTTTTTCTTATGCCATCTGTCCGTTATCGAGTATATATATATTATAGATGGCAAATTACAAGCTTGAGCTCTTTCTGAGCTTCCTAATCTGTTTATACGCCTAGAATTGTGGTCTATATAGACCCCCCAAATAGATAGAAAAGTAAAAACCTCTCTGAATGTATTGGAAACCGTTTCTATCTATTTGGGGACCACTATGATAAAAATTCTCCTTACTCCTTGGTCCTGTGTCATCCCTGTTGTGAGTTGAGTCGTGCTCATCAGGATTTTGTCTATCATTGTTTGAAACAATCAATACCACAGTTAATTCTCATTTCTAGAAGCAGGACGCCTTGCAAAGAGCGACAAAACCATGAAACGGTAACCTTCAAATTTCCAACCAACCGTGGTGTTGCAATGTCTCCCATCCCAGCTTCTGGATTCATTCATCCACTTTCCACCACATCCAGCACGAGCTCGAAATGAGCGAAGCATTTAATTACAGTGCATGGTGCTTTATTGAAGAAACCCGCAAAGCATTCACATGCTATGGACTTCCACCACATGCAGCCTGATCCACCCATTCGGAATGAAGTAAAACAAGGCTCCTTAGACTTAGACCCACCACCACCACTACCACAGGCCGCGTTGCGCGGACTCAGCTGAACGGCCGGGATGATGAAAGAGCAGCACCTGCGCATTTTTGTGCAAACAAGGGCATGGTACCTCGAGGAGGGCACACCAAAATCACTACTATATACTATCCCAGACACTCCATGTCTGTCATCTATGCTGCCCCAATCACCCCTCAAACCAATGTAGGTAAATATACCATTCATACATGGAGTGTCTGGGTATAGTATTATAGATGTCAGATGCAAGTAGTACTCTTCCACTGTTGTTCTGCAGACCTCAGGGAGGTAGGTCTGTTTCCTGTAGTCAGACTCTTGAAGAGAAGACCTCGCCCTGTGAAGAGTCGCTCCGGTCATGTTGTCACCAGTCCTCCAGTCCGGGTTGCAAGGGTTGAGCTGCAGGTGGGGTAGCTGCAGGCAGCAGGTGGGGTCCCTACAGGATGTCCTCCATGTTGGATCACATGGAAATCCATTTGCAAGACATCATCACTGAGTTTAAGCGTCTGACAACCATTAGTTTTTTACTACAACATACTACAACAAACCAATTCTTTTGTCAACATTGGTCAATCTTGACCCCCGACCTCTGCTGAGGCTTGTCAAGTACCAATAACAAATGGCTCAAACTGTTCGTGGTATGGCTAATGGTGACCAGGACAAACATCTAGATATAGTACCAAAACGATGACCTGCACACAAATCGGTGATATGGGATCTGGAATTGACCATTCACCTTGAATTGATTCTCGAAACTTGGGTCCACACCACACGCACTGTTACGCATATTCAAACATGAACGTGTACAAAAATGAGTGAGCACCTCCAGAAAAATTGTACATTTTAGCACGATGTTGGCCCGCTCGCCACTATCGACGCTCAAAGGCCAGAGTCATGTTCATTGTGTTTCATTGTTGGTTCTCTCAATTCCAGTTTCCAACTACACCACAAGTCACTGTTTCTCGTTTTTGAAATCCTGCACTGTTCGTCTGAAACGATTTTCGCACCTGGTTGTCCTGGGTGCCCACGGCAAATCCAATGCCAGTGATGGGACTCACGCACAAAATGGTGGAAGTGCCTCAGGCGTACCAAGGCCGTGGTTCACACGCGTTAGACCGGTGGAAGGAAATTAAATTCGAACATCCAAATCATGGAAACCATGGAAAGGCCGCCTACCTGGCCACATGCCTTTGGCCCCCCATAAATGCCTTCTCCTGGAAAGGCCTTTCAGATAGACTGAGGTCATGACTTGTTTTTTCCCCAAAACATGTTTGGGGCATCGTTCGTCTTTATTTTCTGGGCGCTAATCGACCGAAAGACATCGAGACTCTGCACTTCCAGGAATGGAAAACACTCATTTGGGCTCAAAAAGATCCTGCTTCCGCATCACCTTGCGCGAATTCTAGGGTTGTGGCCAAATTCAATGTCCAAGCATGGTGCAGAACACTGAAGCAAACAGCTTGCGTGCATGCAAGTGTGGGGCCGACCAGTGGGTGTCAGAATTGCAGTCTGCTTGAAGAAACTGTTTGTTTCAATCACTGAGCTGAGGATATAACCTACCCAGACACTCCATGTATGGGATATTTACGTACATTGAGCCCCTGAGCTGGCTTTGCTATATCGGAAGTGTCAAATCGTTTGGCACCATTTATTGAATTCCCAAAAGAGGTTGTTTTCCTAGGCTTTACCATTCTATTGCAAATACTTTTGAACCCAATAGGCTTGCATTCCTCAAAACAATGCTCTCTAGGAACCTTGGCGCTGCACGTGTTCGAGTGAACGCAGCCATATCAAACATAACTCACGCAACCAAGTGGTGGTCACTCACTTCTGCTTACCCGCTCTTTCCGAGCTTGCGGCGGTTCTCAAACTTGGAAAAACTGAGCAGGCCTTGATTTGGTGGCGTTGGTTTGCACACCATCCCTCTTGCAAAGTGTCTTCCATGTTTAGCAGTTCTGCCACTGTTCCTATAGAATCGGTTTCTTCCAAGAGCCTGGTCGCTTCTGTGGCGCGCCGGGTGCAACTGTAATACGTTTCCACAATGTCTCAAGAACCGGGTACGAACAGGGACCGCTGCCCGGACAGGGACCGACACCAAGAGAGGACAGGGACAGGAAGACAGAACGAGACACAGGCCAGAGGAGGACTGCACAGCGTACAGTGCGGCCAAGCATGCCAGTCTCCGGTGTTCCAGTGCGATGAAGTCTTGACCGCGGCCGGCTCATCGGGAACGATCTCAGAAGAGAATTGATTTCTTGAAGGGGCTCAGAAGATAATTTGATTTCTTGTCTCTTTTGTGATTGTTGTTGATATGGGTTGCTCGAACTTGGAGTTGAATGAGTGAGCAAACTTCAACTGTGCTTTTTGCAGCAGGAGTTCTACGATGAGTTCTTCCGGGCACTAGCTACAAGTGGGACAGAGTCTCCAAGATTTCGTCTAAAGGCAAGGGGCCCCAACCTGACACATTGTTGCCCTTGAGTAGCATTTTGCTCAGTGAGGCAGGCGGTCTGAATCCTGAGCGCATCCAAAGGCTGTCGAAGCTCAGCGGGGGCTCACTCTAGGGAGTTGCTGGGTTGAAAACGGTTACACAAACACACAAGACTGAGTTTCTGGGAGTTGGCAGGGTGAAGACTATGAGTCCGAGGTGTATACGAACGGTACGATACTGTGGTTTGTGTTGAATTGCCAGTCCGTCGATCCTCCGGGACGATAGGCAATGGGGCCAATCCACATGAGGTGAGTTGGGCTTGCAAGCGAGCTTGAGATCCGTCGTCCAAAGCGCATGGGAAATGCCTGCGCGCCGGGCGTCTTTGCTGAAGCCTTCGAAAACCGAAGTTGAAGTCTCACAAAGATGGGTGGCGGTTTGCCACGCGGCCACTGCTTGTGTCTGTCAGCTGCTGCATGCGCCAGGAACTGCTCTCACCATCACCCCTCTTCCGCTTCAAAGGGTTCTTTTGAAGTGAAGCATCAGCACTTCTGCTATGTGCTGAATCAACGCTTCATCTCGACTTCCTCCTACGCCTAGGCAAAGAAGGCCAGCCTCACGCAAGGTCAAGCGCTAAGCAATGCGATGCGGCGCCACAGTGATGTCTTGATCATACAACTGGTGAATAATTGAAAAAAGGCGTTCGTTGGTGGCGTCACAAACCATCAAGCATCGAGCGTGATAATGCACGACTGTTGCATGCCAGCACTGACCAGCAGCATTGCGTTGGGTGATGTCACTTTCCCTTGGAGCGTTCAAATTACCTGTCATGGTCCAAGGAAGCTGATACAGCAGCGCAATTAACCTCCTCATATCGAGTTCTGAACATCCGCTTAAAAAGCACGTTCGTGCAAAAACGCCTGTGGCTCACTAATCAACGCCCGTAGCTTGTGTATAACCGCCCGTGAAATATAAGAACAATCAGAAAAATATAGACATCCGCAGACTCAAACATAAGGCTCCAAAGATCGAACCAAGACACTCTGAGAAAGACCGCATGAAATCATGGACGCGATCCGCAGATCAGTGAGGAGCAGCGCTCCACGCTCGCCCCTTTGAAAAATCCGACCAAGGCACTGTGTGTCATAACCAATGACCCTTCCAGGCCAACCTGAAGCGAATCTGGTCATGGGAGTTCTACCCACCGGAGCCCCTGCACCTTTCTGAACGGTGCCTTCTTCGATCCCCTTTCTTCAGCCCGTTCCCGTGAAGGGATGAACCCGGGCTTCTCAGGGATACACGAGGCTGTTGGGTCTTCAAAGACTGGTATCGGTCCAGTGAAGTCCCGTCCGACAGCAAGAGCTGGTGAAGTCTAGTTCTTGGTTTGATCACTTTGCAGAGGCAAAACCCATCTTCAAGCCTTACATCTCGGCCGTCAAAAGCATTCAAAAGCATTCAAAAGCAATATTCATATAAACCCATATGCTGGTAATACTGGTATAGAACATCTTTGGGGCTTCTTCAGAAACCCAAGCAGCTTGTTCCATTGACCTGCAGCTTAGCGATTTGTTGGGGCTGCGCCCCCGGATCCGATCCCCAACGGAAACCCGAACGCGAGGGGCCTGGGATAGACCATAGGGCTCCCGTCCCACATCCCAAAGAAAGACAGAAACAATAATATCGCTACTAGGAGCAAGGGCATCGCTACGAACGGGGCTCCTGGCATCCCTACTAGGAACAAGAAGCTACTAGGCATCACATCCATGAACCAAACAAGCAACATGACGAGCGCCCGACCGTTGCTCGAGCTCTGCTCGTGCGGAACGTGCGCGGAACGCGGAACGTCCAGGCGGGGGTTTGGCGCGAACCATCCACGGACCCATTCCGAACGCGATGAATACCAGCGCATCACCCATCCCTTGAGGGTGGGGGGAGGTGGGGTGCCTTCAACATCGTTTCATCATGAAATCGCATCAGTGACCCACCTGCCTGGTACCATCCATGAATCCATGAATCTGCCCCACAAAAGGTCCACGCGTGACATCCACTTGATACGAATCTGTTGCAACACCTTTTCCATTCAGAGCAGTCCGTCTCCGTCGGGTCTTCTATTGGTGCCTCGAAGGCTTTTGACATGTCGAAGACGAAGAAGTGGCCGAATCCTCGCAGCAAGTGGAATTCAGAGTAAGATGCGCAATCCCCGAAGGTGGATGTTCTTTTGATGGACCCCAACTGAAAGATTCTAAAAATCTTGAGGTCTGTGATGGTCTGTGCCATCTACCCTTAAAGCATGCACCGCAAAAACCACCGGCTCTGGTTCGTTTCGGCTCGAACCGTACTACTCGTGGCTGCCTGGGATTTGCTGGAAAGCAAGTCATCATGGTTTCCAGGTGCCTGGCCTCTACAGGCTTTGCTTTAAGACCTCGCGAACTGGATCAACACTCAACGGGAATATACGGGAATTGATGTAACCCATGTGGGCCTTTGGAGTAGAACCAACCTAGCTGCCTTTTCGAAACCAGGAACAGCAAGGTCCAAGTCAAGAATAGATCCACGTATGGTGGTCCACAAATAGTATGTCCCCAAATTGTGGAGACCATTTGCTTCGCTCTCAGGCTGGTCACCAGCTATCCAATACACTATTCATACTGTTACACTTCCCAGTGGATCCAGTTGCCACTCAAACTGAATAACAAGTGCGTAGACATACCTAGATCTTCCAACTATGCAACATGTCTGGCTTTTGGCTGGTTTTATAGATGATTATAGATGAAAAGGCAGTTAAATGTTGCACAGTCGCACAGTTGGAAGATCCTGCTATTGAACCCTGGGATCCACCAGCTTCACTGTGATGGCCCCTCCCTCGGAGACGAGGGGAGAGCTTCGCTTGTCCTTCGGGACCCTCATGATCAAAGGCCACGGGGTAACCTCGGGCGACCAAGGCGGAGGGGTCTTGATTCACTGGGTTTTGGCTGTGTATGCCACTAGCGCAACGACCGATTTCGATCTACTATATTGTTTGGCACACATGGCGTCATGATTTCATGACATCCTTTCGAGTATATTTCAGCTATACCGATGTGGATTGTATTCTATATGAACCACTGCGGGTTTTTCTGGTCAAACCTGGATGGCCTCTCAGCCTCACGGCTGGAAGAGAAGGGTTTTCCTCGATGACGGACATCTGTTTCGCTGGTTGATCCAACCGCCAGAAGTTCGGCTGCGACCGCCCAACCGAGACACCACCGGTCCCCACCGCTTCGTGATTCATCACCGGGGCATGTCAGCGTGTCATGTCGCCTGTCCGCGCCGCTCATACTGTTCGGTTCCCTCCGCGGCTCGCTGCGCTGGGGATGGTGCTCAAGAGGCCATTGGCCGCGACGGCGAGGTATTTCTCCCCAAAAATGCCTCGATCGGCAGGACTCGATCGAGGTTCGTCGGAACAAGAGGCCATTGGCCACTTTCTATTGGGAGTCGACTCACAGGAGTTGGCTCGTGTTTTTGCTGGATTGGCTCGGAGGGTGCACCTTAAGAGCGGCTTTGGGGAATTGCATATCTTGGGTCTATCCTAATACCTGTAACAGTGGATGATGATGGTTATTAAAGGCCTTGTTCAAAAATAGTAATAATTGTTTACTGACTGTTACAGGTAAGTTCGGACAGACCCGATGCTCATATAATATACTCGTGCGAACCTCAAAAACCATCGGCTCCTGAAAACCCCTCGCAATCAGCGCGGCGCTTGGGCAGTCCACAAGGTGGCCTGGGTGGTGGCTGGGAAGCCTCGCCCAAACTCTGCAGATCGAGGTACACATATCAATGATGGTCTGGGTGGCAGATTCGTTGCCTCAGCAGCGAGACCAAGTGTTCTTTCCAGCATCTGGCTTCAAAAGAGGCATCAGATCCAAGAAGGGGCCCAGTCAGAGCAGGGGGGCCCAGATCCAAGAAGGGGCCCTGTCAAACTCGGCGGCTGTCAGTTCCCTACAATCACTCCACTCTTTTGGTCTTTGTCTGGGGATTCACCACCAGTCAGGTTTTTAAGTTCAAAGCCAACAGAGACATTAACATCAGGCCTGATAGCCAGCATGTCATTAGAAGGCTGTCAATACCTGCAGAGACGTCTTTTGAAAGTCCCTTTTGGGGTTCAAAACTCTGGCCCAGAACGGCCATTTGGAGGGATGGCAGAGTGTTCATGCCCTTCTCACCAGGTAACACGGCCGTTCAAAGAGTCTAGACGGGACGAGGGCGTGGGAAGGATGGACGTCCGGGATGGACACGGAAAACTCGGAGGACGTTAGGGACGGTTGGGTTGAACAAAGACCACACATGGGAAGCCAACATGGAAAACAATATCAGCACTGCTTCTAACACCTCTATGACGCTGAGTATGCTTAGACACCGGAAAAACAAAAAGACATCCAGTTCGGATCCAAAGAGAAATCTTCCATCCAGGACACACCTCTTCCAGTGCAGACTCAGACACATCTGTTTATTGTTCGCTTTATTGTTTAAAGTCGTGGTAGTCGCTCATCACCCTGATAGGGTATAGCGGCACAAACTCCTGAAGGCGGATATTAAAAATTTATACCCGCATAGACCCCAAACAGCTTGAAAGCGATTCGTCAAAAACCGATGTCCTACTTTTCCCCCAAGAGCAAACTGCTTTGTTTATCAATGATTTTTGTCGGCATCGACATCGCTATATTTGTTCGGCCACACTCTTCTCCAGTAAGCCGGGCCACAGAGACCAGCCACAGAGTTCAGGGGCACGGCCAAGACAAGGACAAGAGGAGGACAAGACCCGGACACAGAGCCGGGTCACAGACAGGGGCGCGGCCAAGACAAGGGCAAGAGGAGGACAAGACGAGGACAAGGCCCGGACACAGAGCCCAGCCACAGAGCCCAGCCACAGAGTTCAGGGGCGCGGCCAGTGAGTGTGGCCAGCTCTTTTTTTTCTAAGATAGAACCCCAACAGTAAACTGTTTGGGGAAAAACGTAAACATATAGAAGACGTGCACGTAAAACGCCAAACACGAAAGAACGAACAAGACGAGCAAGGGCAGTTGCGCCCGGTACCAAGACTAACGAGCGAAACAAGCGATGTGAAGGGGGGGGAACGAGACGGCAGCAGCAACCTCAACCGCACCCCAAGCCCCCCAAGTCGTGGGTTTACAGTAACCTGGCAGGAGGAGCACACGCAGCCAAACGGAGCACCCGCAGCCAAACGGAAAAAAGAAACAAACCCACAAACCCACTCACAGAAGAGCAGCTGAGCGGTGAAAGCAGTAGTTGGCAGTAAAAAGCATGTGTTTCTACGTTTTTTTTTAAATCAAAGACTAGTCAACTCTTGATGCTCGGTTTTCTCATTTTGTTCGCTCTGTGGCCTTTTGCGATCAGCAGACGTTCTCTCTGTCTGCGAAACTTTGCACCAGTGGCGAACTGAGACTTGGCAGGAATCTTCCAGCATGTTGTGGAAGGCCACGCGCTTGGCATTTTGCCGAGAAAATTCTGAAGCACAACATCAGTGTGGATGTGGAGGTTCCTGCAGCCTCCAGCTTGCCAATCAAACAAAGCTACGGCACTTCCTGGCAGTTTGCTCCTCCCAAACAAGGCGCTCCAACCTCTCCGGATGACTGCTGCAGGTCCACTGCTAGTCGACCAAGGTCCAAGCGTGCTCAATGTCTAAGATGGTGTTTGGGCGATGTAAAATCTGTAGTTTTCAAATCTCCAAGTGCTTTAAAGGTGTATCTCAAAGGTTGTGTGGGGGGTTCATCGTGTGATGAGGCTCAATGTGAATGTACATCTCGGGATTCTTTTCAGCGCAGTAAATCAGGACATCGCTCGCACGAGGACGTAGGGGGCCTGACTCCAGGCGCTCGCACGAGCTTGGGGACGTAGAGTCATGTTCTGGACACGACGAGGACATCAAGACGTCCAATGTCCGTGTCCGGGTGCAAGGCGGCCTTGAATAAAGAATGACGCATGATGATGGATGACGGATGATGGATGATGGATTATGGATGTATGCCAGGGCCAAAGCTAAACCCCCCTCACAACGGGAAGGAACTATGGTATCAATAGAGACCAGCAACGTTTCACCACAGCCCAAATAGGTAGCTGGGCTGTGTATTATGCCACACAAAAAAAGGGACAACCACAAGGCGCTCACGGCAGCTCATGAGTTGTTACCTTCCAATCATGCTCAACGAAGTACATTGTAGCCAAACCAGCAGAGCCTTCCTGACCCCCGACCCGACAGGCCGCTTGAGCGACGTGTCCGACTGGCGCCGTTCGCTCCGCCTTCGCCGAGTCGCTGGGGACCGTCCAGTTGGCCTCGTGGACCTCTCCAGACGTCCTGCCGCGCGGGCCGTCGGCCGTCGGGCCGTCGGCTGAGCCAAAGCGGAGAAGACAGCGGAAACGGTTGAGCCATCGTCTGGACGAGGTGGGGCGTGGGGTGGGAAAAGCTTCTCTCTGAGAACTCTGACTGTTGCTTTTCGGTTTAAAGGATGGTATGCATATGTGCTGTTCGGAGAGAGAGAGAGAGAGATAGCAATCAATTATTGTCTTGGGAAAATATACCATGGTGGTCGCTGCGGCCCTCGACTTGTGCACTGGAGTGCGAGTTGTATGCATCATCCCGGAAAGGCTGCTATCCGAGTGCCATCGATGACTGACCCGTTGCCCATCCCTTGCCATCAAAACGAGATTCTTAGATCGACATTTAAGAGACATCTTTAAGCTGCGTATGAAACCCAACAAATGATTGTCTCAGTTCAATCAGGGAAACTAGGGCCCACCTGATTAAAGAGTCTGATCATGCTATGTTCATAATTTTCACAAGAGAAATTGTCCAAGAAAAGAAGTCTTTCCATTCCTTTCCATGTGTCAACTGCGGTAGAACAAAAGATGTTCACCTCCACTATGGCGCAAAGCCTTCTTCATTATTGGTTTGGCCCCCCCACCTTTTGGTACCCTTATTGTCTGATCATGTCTGATCTACATGCCCTACCCGCTATGGGGACATACGTCGAGACGGACTGCAGCTATGCCACTGGAAATGTGGCAGGATGAAGACCTCCTTGACAGAAGCTGCCTGGGGGAGAATTCTGGAGGACTTGGCCGCGGTCCACAGGTTGCTGTTTTTAAGTTCGGGCATTCGGAATTTAGAAAGAGAGCACAATATACCCTGAGGATCCAGTCGTACCTTCTCAGGTACGGTGATTGGAGACACTGTTATCTAGGTTTGGAGCGTGTACTTGGATCCCTTGGGATTAAGGTCGACCGAAAAGAGAGAAATGGAGCCCCCTAGCCGCCCGAGGCAACCTCGAGGACCAGTCTTTCAGAGATGGGAAGTGACCACATGACATGAGATGATCATACATGATGTCTGAGGACCAACCCCCTTTCGCCCGGTGGATGAATCCACCAAGAACATCATCTCTAGAGTCTTGAGGCTATTTACTAGGCGATTCATAGACACCCCAAATGGAGGGGTCCTGGTATATATGACATGAAATGGTATTTGACACTACCAGGGCCACGAATCCCCTATGGCCGCCATTGATGCTGGTCCCTGGCGGTGAAGGAGAAGGAACGGTTCAATGACAAGAGCTCATAGAAACACATTACAAACACACGTCTTAGAAAGACACACAACAAACATCATCAAACATCGCACAAATCACCACTTGTTTCCACACACGGTTCATGGGCAAACCCCATGAAACAAAAAGGAACAAATCATGATCATGTCTTAAGGGAACAATTAAACATCTTCCGCTTCCTGGCAAAACATGTTCATATACCCTGGGAGTCCAGTGGACCATTTTTTCAACGGTCTTTAGGTGATCCGAGTTCAGGAACTTCCTTTACTTGGGTGGTGCCTCAAATAGTCGACCTGGACTTCTAGGGTCTATGTATCATGTACCAGCAGTTTGGGGGTGGGTGTCCATGATCATGGTCCACTCCTATCATGGTGTATCCACTCCTATCCACTCCTATTCAACAAGTAATCAGTCTCCACTTCCAGATCGTGGCCCATCCCGGTATCATGGGTCTCCGACTGGGTCTCCTTCTTCATCGTCCCCATCGGCATCCATTCGATTCGCCCCCGTTAAACCACGACAAGTGGGATCCATGCTTCAAGGTGCCACAATGAAGTCCCGAAAGGCCAAAATCTTTCGCAAAGGATCTGGCACCTCGCGCAGTTTCCGACACATTCGCGAGGTGTTTTTGTCGTCCTAGTGTGTCACACGTAACCCATGTTGCCTGCCCGACCAAAAAAGAGAAGAACAGGTCATTGTCAGGGCTCCTGTTCCTCGGGGTCCTGGGGGTCCTGTTCGTGTTCCAAGAGTCTCATGCAGGATCAACCAGTCTCACGGTTCTCGTGCCCAGTCTCACGGTATGTGTCTCAATGAACAGGACGTCGGACCATGCAGACCATGGGAAGGGCCAAGGGGTTGGACCCGGTCGACCGGGCCGACCCTTTCCATGGGTCCGGGCCCGGATTCTGAGGGCAGAAACAGAAGCAGGTGAACTACATGTTGGGTTGCTCTCACCCTATTACCCTATAACTGTCTATAACTACTGTTTCTGGAAATGATGGTCGATGCCGCTGATCTCTTCTGCTTGCAGCGTGGTTCTTCCTTAATTTTGTTGGTCCTCTCGTGAGTTCCCTAAGGAACACGCGAGTTCGACGGAGAAAAAAACGCGAGTTCGAAGCTGCTCTGGGTTCTTTAAAGGAAGTAGACTATGCCAGGGCCCCCTGTTTCGGGGGTCTATTTATAGGCGGTGAAGGGGTGTCCATTTACCACCTCTTCTGGGCCTGTTAATTTTTGGCAAGAATTGTTCAGGGCGGATCATCACACGATGCAACGTGATTCTCAGAGAAGGACGCAACATCTCAGTGGAAGTTCAAAAGAGAAACAAAATATTGCACATTAGTGCATCCTTCCTACTTTTCTCCAACTACTTCTGCTTGTCTCACGTTTTCCCTGCTTATCTCTAAATTTTTCTACTCCTCCTACCTCTTTCTGCTTGTCCCTAACCTTCCTACGTTCTGCTGTTCTTATCTCTCCTTTGTCTTCTCCACTCTTCCCTAACTCATGTATGAGAGTCCTGCAAGTTTGCCAGCATTCCTTGGGTTTTGTAGCTTTCCCAACCAGCATCGCCTTGTCAAAGACAACCAAACTCTCTGAATCCCCCCAACCACGGAATGAAAAATCAGCCCACTGGGCATCAAGTGACTTTGGACACAAAACGCTCGACAATGCTTTTTCAGGGGGCAGCACACAAGCTGAAAGCACCACAACACGAACTGCCGAGTGGCACTGACAGAAACACTGGGTGCATCGTGTGCGAGAAGGACGCGCGGGAAGGATCTGATGTAGTGGCCGCCTGGCGAGTCTTCGGTTGCCACCGCTGTACGAGTCTCATGGCCCCATCCGGATCCACACCGGCGCCGCTGACACTATAGAGAGAGAGAGAGAGATCCATTCGGTCCACAACCTGCTGACACGAGATGTCAAGAGACAAACAAAAAGAACGAAAACCTCGAACGAAAATAACATACCGACTTCCCATACCGGCAACTAGGGGTGCACTGATTCCAGACCCTAAGTAGTTGAGGGTATGACTTCCCTAAGAATCTCTGCGAGTTCTCTCCACTTGGTCCAACTTGGTGTCTCTTCATGTCTCCATGCGTTCCTCTTCCGGCCCTGACGACTGGCATGGACCGCCCGGCGGGTCGGGCCACCTACATAGGTATTGGTGACCGTGACCAGAAGGTCTTCCTGCATGACCAGCACCTGAGAGGGGGACGCTCACGCGGCGTGCGCGGAGGGCGGCATGGATGAAGGGCATGAATGAAGATCTTCCTACATGGAAAAGCACATCGATCCACACCCCAACTCTTGACTCACAAGTGTTTGATAAGGGTTTGCTTTGCTACTGGGTTTGCTGTGTTGGGCTGTTTGGCTGGCTTAGGAGGAAGCAGTGCTTGGTGGAGATGTTCGTTCAGACCATGGGGCACTTCAGGTTTGCCCTCCATGGACCACCGGCTTCCAGTAACCTGGAGGTACCAACGCACTATGTTCATCCTGTGAATGATCTAAACAACCAACTGCAGTCCAGGAAACATGTAATATATATATATATATAGTCTGACTCTAGATCATACGTACATGATTCAATGATAATACCAAGAAATCCAGGTCAAATCACCAAGCGGGACGTCACATTCTGAGTTCTATTCGGAATGTCAATATAGAAATTGATTGAATAAGCTGCTACATAAACTGCCAATTGTCTCTTGTTGCAATTTGCAACTGCTTGCTGGTCTGGTGCTTTGCAAAGCAACAAGGGATTTGTACATCACTGGAACGGAGTCCGAAACTAGACCATCTTTCATGTCCTACAAGTGTACAATCAGAGGCTTTAAGTTTGTCATTACCTAGCAAATCACACTTGCTACTTTTCAAGGAACCAAGGACAACCATAAAACCATCCATATACAAGGATTGACTTTGACAACCACTCTGGATCCTCCGTGGGCAGTAGTTGTGCCTGTGATATCAATATCTATCTGATTCGTGGTGAAACCCCTGTACCTGGTGGTCACCAAACAATGGAACCTCCATCGCCACCTCCAGAGACCAGGACATGAATTTGAATCTCTACCCCTCCAAATCCAGTTCAACTGATAGTTTGCCACCACCGAAGTGAGGAACTGCCTCGGGTCATCCAGTAGACCATGTCAGACCTATTCATAATCATGTGCTTTTCAGCAGTTCTTCTGAGAATCATCGGGACTCGTCCGTGACCCCCGGAATTTCCAACCAACCAGTCGACATCAGTCGGGACTCCCAGACCTCCCAGACCTCCCATGCTTCTCCCCGTCCCCTCTTGGAGACTCCGCCACGGCACCGAGGCGATGGTCCCGGCCTCGGACGCGCGTGTGCCGAGACGAGGAGGGACGAGGAGGGACGAGGAGGGACGAGGGAGTGATGGGGAAACCACCCAAAAGAGGAGCTCCACTGAGCTCCAAGAGAACCCCCCTGGTGCTGATAGCACCTGAAACGCAGGGAGAGAAGCCAGCTTGCTAAAGTATATAGTAGCGATGCACCGCTGCTACTGCTGAACAAGACGCTAGTCAAAAAAACAGCAGCGAAGTGTCTCGAAGCCCGGAGTTTTCTCTTTATGTCAGTGTTTTGAGTTGGGGGGCCCGTGCCTGGTCATTAGATAGCTTTCGGCATCACTGTCGGCATAGCGAGCAGCTCGTCTTGCGACGTACAGAAACATGGATGAAACATGGTAGCCTTTTTCTTGGGGGACAAGATAGTAGGTTCATTCTCCATGTTAGTGCCCAGCAAGTAACACATGCTTTTAAGTCCGTATACTAGTTTGATGCAGTTTGTACATTCAAGTCAAATTACCAGAATGTACTGCTTTAGGAGGGAGAATCGGAAAACCTTCCATCAAAGCACCAGGGGCACCGCGCACCAAAAATAGAGGGACATGCCAGTCTTCACAAAAAATTGTGATACTGATACCGCTGTACAGTACCCAGAAAGGAAGGTGAACCTATACACAGTCTGCAGTGAAAAGGACATATGTACCAGGAGTTGCAGTCTGCGGTGGTTTTTAGACCGGGACCCTACGTGAGTGGATAGGAGTGGACAATGATCATGGACACCCAAGAAACTGCTGGTACATGATACATACCTGGACCTTCAAGGGGTGTCCAATTGAGGTCCCTTAGTGGTATAGGGGCTTCCAGCCAGGTGACCGCGACATGAAGGTGTTGGTAGATATTGCATGGAAGAGCGAAACAAGCTCAAGTCCTCAAGTCCGGCTAGGACCCATGACCCAAGTCCGCTATACTGACTCCTGGGACTGGCAGTCCTGACTCCTCCCGAGTCAGGCGGTGGGGGTGGTTGAAACGGGGTCGTATAGATGATTCCAGGCCCATGGAGTAGAACAGCACATGGGTGATATTGTCAAGACTGAGACTCCAGTCCCCAATGATCGTCCTCCATGCCTTATCTAGGACATTGAAACATGTTGAGTGCCTTTGAAACATGTTGAGTGCCTTTGAAAC